CGTTTCTTTCATTCAGAGAGCGTAGGTAAATATGCATAATTTATTGAAATTGTCTTCGCTTGAATCTGGTTGAGCCGATAACAGTGTTTTATTCGTAAAGAAATAGCACTACAGGTCCTTGAAAAGAACATTTCCCTTCGTCTTTCAACTATCAAAGATCCGTTCTTCTGATCCGATGTCGATGACGTAATCCACCATCAGCACCGAGACCTGCTGACCTCCTCCGCTCCTCTCCCCGCCCCTCCGCCCCTCTCTCCACCCTCCCCTACTTGTCGCCGTCTCCGTCCTTCGGGAAACAACTTTCTACGGCAGTTTTTGGCGGCGAGCTAATCCGGGGAGTGGAGACGCGTCTCGTCCAGGGGTGACCGTGACAGGGGCACCGGCACTGGGTGACCGACGCGGCCTTCGCGGCAGCCACCGCCGCCGGCACAGAGCCACCGAGATTATCACCGGCTTCGGGCGCTGGGGAGGGATGATTTGGGGAGGGATCAGTGTGACCCAATTATGTTTATCGTTAATCTCTTTTATGTGTAATCCAGAGGAGCTCTAGCTGAAACATGACAGTTTCGATAGATGTTTAATGTATCCATGGCGGCGAGAAAAGAAACAACCGAATTAGTGTTTAGTGTTTACCCTGAAGTCTGGCACCACTCTGATCCGTTAGTTTTTATGAGTTATCACTTCACGTGCGAAACTTTCCACAACAGTAGCCTTTGGTGTGAACTAAACGCATGCCGCGACAGCGCTGAAGTTTCCTCCCATACATTACCGAACATAGCCATAAATTGCTCAACCCTCACGGCCTGTTCACACCGTAACCATGCCGTTGGCTGCGGTGGCGTCCCGTGCGCGTGGTGCACCTTATACAGCTCCCCAGGGGCGCTCTCCCACGAGCCGAGGAGAAAAGACACGCCCATCGTGCTGCCGTATGTGGGAGAGATCGTACGGTATGCGGGAGTTTACGTTACGGAGCACGTCGGGACACTGGAAGCTTTGATGTGTCATTAAGCATGACACCGTACCACATGTTTATGCGCTATGTGTTTTAGGAGAGTTTTATGTGCGACATTCGCAACATGCTACGATAGCGGTATTGCAGCAACGCACGCCTATATTTGCTTTATTATTTCTTTACCTGTAAAACTTAGTTTGGTGTATGATATGCTTTCACTGGTCTCCAGCACACACACTCATTATTTTCAATGTGCCAATGTTAGCAATGAAAAGTGCTTTGCTCATTTTAATAAGCCATAATACAGTGCAACGGACAACGGCCGTCTATGCACTATGCAGGCGCAAGGTGGATATAATTGCTCACAAGCTGGTCTGCTTAACAGTGGTGTTCAGTGCTGCATGAGTGGGCAACACGCTACATAAAAGACACGTTATCACGGACCTATGATAATTTTCTCGCCAGGTAAATGCCTGTTTGATAGAATGGCGTACGAAATTAAAAAGGAATGCAGTAATGAGACTAGAGCAGCGCATTCGCACAACATAGTAAAAAGGACGAGAAAACGACAAAAAAGGACGCGTTACAGATATAAGATCTGAGTGCTATTTAAAACCAGCGATCACATTTAAGCAACTCAGTCGACAGTCAACACTAAGTCAACACGAACAAACATTATTTTCCAGGACCGAGACTGTGACCTGCGGCACCGGAAACCATTCAATAAAACATATCGATACCATTACTTCAACAGTAGCGCCCTGTCCAGTCCAGTTTTACCACCGCTCCTCCGCACCCGTTCCTTGCTGCTCTCGTCACCGCGTGTCCCGAGCCTCTCAACCTGACAGGGTACCAGGCACGACAATGTACCACCCTCATCCCTCTGCAATTCTGCAGCTTTGCAGACGGACTCTGCCACTGAATCAGCCGGCCCCGCGTGATCTCTAATCCTGTCACCGCCTCTCCCGACCTGTATTGAGCGACTCCCGGCCGCGCTTTGTGATCGGAAAGTGAGCTACCTCGCCGATCGGCCGAGCACGGTGACTGGCACGGTCTCCCGCGGCGCCAAGGTCGTGCATGGAGATTGTGGCTCACCTCCTCCTCATCTCATGGACATTTGCAGGGCGGAGAGAGACGGTGAGCTGGTCACCCGTTCGTCTTTGTGAGAGGGAAAGTTGGCTGCCGGTAGTCCGCCCGGTCACCGCTACTATTCGGTGGCCGTGAGACTGGGAACAGAGGAGCTCTAGAGCTGGAGATGGACAATGGATTTGGCTGTAGCGAGAAATGGCTCAGGTTTACATTGAACTGAGAAGCAAGGATAAGCTCATGCTGTGTCCGTGCTGGAGCTCGGAAGAACGCACGGGAGAACCTATTGGCGGTACAGCTGAACTATGGGGAAAGTGAAAGTGGTTTGGCCAGCAGGCTAGGTAGTCGCTTAAGTGGTTAATCGTCAATTCGTTAATTGGTTTATTGCTGGAGCGGCATTGTTGGCAATTATCTCGGTCAGTATGAACATGAAAGAAAGCGTTCACAGGAAGGTACGCCTTAACCCGCGCCCCACTGGGGGGGGGGGGGCTATTTATAGTCCCCCCTCCCGTTTTTCTGCAATAACTTCCAAACCGCTTGACGGATCGACGCCAAACTTTCAGTACCTTCGGCTGCATCAATTTGACACCTTGTGTCAAAATTTAAACTTCGTAGCTACCATAGGTCGGCCGGAAATGACGTCAGAGTGACGTCATGTTCGTCCGATTTCGACGCAAAACATTGAACCACGGCAATCGCTCCCAAGAGCTCAGTTTTTCAGCTAGATCCAATTTCTTTGCATGAAAGGACTCAGAATTGACCGCGCTATCAAACTGCTATCTCGGATTTTCAAAATTTTGAAAATTTCGAAAATTGTATATAATAATATTCAAAATTTATATTTTTATATTTTTTTTTTTCAAAAAGTTTTTGACTTTTCGATAAAAACCGGAATATATGTGACAGAATGCATGATTATGACTAACTCTAGCAAGTTTTAGCTAAATATCTTCAAAAATGGCCAAGTTATACGCATTATTGCAAAAAATTCACAATTATTAATTTTTCAAATCAATTTTTCAGTACGTATTTGACATCGTACACCAATATAAATGGCACCATCGTGTTCCTGAGCTCAAACTGCATCCAATAGACACCTTTTTTGTTGAAAAATTTTAACTTCAAAATTTGACCTTTTTTGACCTGAAAGTGACCTGACCTAAGCTAAATTCGACTCAAAATGACCTCGAATGACACAGACGACATCAAATTCGAAATCTATGGCCTAAATGGACCATAAAACATGTGTCACGTGACCGACGCATGATATAATATTTTCGTGACCTGTGATGACCTGACCCTGACCTGAAAATCAAAGTACAAGTTTGGTACCCTCAAGGTATCTACAGCATCTGTTCACGAGTGTGGAAACCAAAAATGAGCCTGATCTGACTTGTAAGACGGCGGCCAGAGCCCAAAATGTGAACAAGCAAAAATGCTAATAATTTTTACTTTGACCTGACCTGTGACGTCATCGGTGACCTCGAGGTCAATGAAATTAGGTTTCGCTCGACAGTTTTTCCGGGGCTATCAGACGCCGTTTGAATTTTGACGATCGGCCCAGTAGTTTCGGAGTTAGGAGGGGGGGCTATGAATAGCCCCCCCCCCCCCCCAGTAGGGCGTGTTATACACAGACCCCAGTGGGGCGCGGGTTAATGACAAATGTAAACGGCGAATTGCGTGAAGGTTATAGTAGTGAATGTCCAATGATTCACTGGCTCCGAGATAAAGGTCGGTTCCAGATAAAGCTTTCAAGTGTCCATTCACCCGCCTGACATATCAACGGCTGGCTCTGGCCTTCAGAATATGAAAGGATATTTCTATACTCGGCATTGAAGTCCCCGAAGACTTCAACGTTCGCTCGCTCACTGAAAGATACCGTTCTATGCATCGTTGCAGTCACGAGACCGCAACGCTCGGAAACAAAGCTATCCAGATTCAGAATATTTCTAGTAGAACCGTCATCTGTAACAATGAATCTGAGCCTTAATCTTGGTTTCAACGCTCTTTCATCTGTTACGATGATCGGCTCGTACCGATTGGTCCCCGATTCTCCCATTTTCACATAATCTCCGTGACACTGAACCCCTTCTTCTCTTTTTCTTTGTGCCAGTCTCCCTCCTCTCCATTCCACCACTCCTCCTCCAATCCCCCGCCGAACGCCGGGCCATCAGGGCGTGCCCCTCCTCCTTCCCTGCCCCCCTCTCCCCCCACTGTCGAGGTCAGACGCAGCCGTGACGCCACGTGAAAGGCGTGTCGGCCGCGCGGTCACAGGTCGCCGATACAAGGGGCGCGGTCCCGACTCGTAGCCCCAGGCCAGGGCGCAGGCGCAGACGCGGACGCGGCCACGGCGCTGTGGGGGACGGACAATGGAACCGCGTGAGCCGCTGTTGCTGGGGTAGAAATGAGGACTGGGGGCTAGAAAGAGTATGCACTAGAGAGGGTGAATAAATTCCACGTTTACCGAAGTGCTGGCACGGATTAGCTCTATTAAAAATGAAAGGTGTGATGGCCATCTTATCTTATCAGAATAAACGATTTGCATTTACCTACAAGTCAGACCGAAAGCGAATCATTGCAGCAATCAGCAGCGAATCCTTTCACCAATATCAATATTGAACAGCCCCTAGTAGCCCCCAGTCGCTGCCAAGTGGACAGGCACTATCGGGACGTTACGATCGAGACGGTTTAGCCCGCGGGGAGGCTGACTGTGTACGCTATGATATGGATGGATGGTAAATGGAAGATAAATGGATAGCGAAAGGTCGTAGACGGGTCGACACGATGTTTACTTGCAGCGTCTTCTCACGTCCTGCATATCAATGAACACCCACTTTCCTTTCTCTAGATTATGAAATTGGTCGAAGCACTTGGTCGAAGGTCTTGAGCTGCATTACCTTCACTGTCAAACCTATGCATCGATGTTCATGTTATTTATAGTTCCCCTCCGTCTGTGTTACAGGCTTCTGCCGTTGGCGGCGCTGCTGTCGCTGGCGGTGGGCCAGGAGGAGTTTTCCTCGGAGCCCGTATCCTCGCGGATCGTCCGCAAGGAGCTGGAGAACGGCACCATCCTCGAGTATGAATACGTCTACTATTACGACGACGAGGAGGGCACCAACTCGCTCGACTTTGAGGACGATTTCGCCGCTCCCTTTGTGACCACCGAGGCGCCCACTACCACTACCACTACGACTACCACCACGACCACCCAGGCGCCGCCGCCGCCTCCTAACAGCATCACCAATGAGGTGACCGAGCAGACGCTGCTCGGACGCGGCCGAGGACGGCCTCGCTTCGGCGGCCGCGGCGGTCTGCGCCCCAGCTCTTTCTCCACAGAGCCCGTGGCGATCCCCATCGTCCCGGAGCCTGAGCTGACCAGCACCTCCACCGGATCGTCCCGGTTCTTCGGCAGGACCTCGTCGCGAGGCCGCCGGCCGCCGACCGTCGCTGAGAACTCGGTCGATGAGGATGCTGAGGCCACGCGCTCCCGTCGGCCGCTTGGAGGTGGACGTCGCCGGCTGCAGCCCCAGGAGATTGCTGCCCAGAGCACCGAGAGCCGGTTCCAGAGCCGTGGGCGGAGCCGCGGCCGCGGTGGTCGGCCGACCGCCCCCGAGCTCCCCACTGAGTCTGCTGCAGTCAATGATGTCCTTGGAGGCGAGCCCGCCGCTGCCACCGCGCCCTCGCTGGGCCGCGGCCGTGGTAGCCGGTTCCCCCCTCAGGCGGGCGCTTCCCCCTTCTCCCGTTCCCGTGGCCGTTCCCGTGCCCCTGCGCCGGCCGCCCAGCCGGTACCGGAGGCCGTTCAGGCAGAGGAAGGCCGTCGCGGCCGCTTCTTCGGGTTCGGCAGCCGCGGCCGTTCGCAGCAGGACGTGACCGACACCCCGGCTGCCGCTGTTGACGAGGAGCGTCTGCCGGCGCAGACGCGCTTCCCGCCCCGTGACAGCACCACTCCGGCTCCGGAGACGGAGATTGTCACTGAGCAGCACGCCGTCACCAGCCTGTTCGCTCTCGGAGGCCTGGCCGTCGGCACCGCCGGCGAGCAGGCGACCACGAGTGGAGGCGCCGAGCAGCTGCTTCCCGCCACCGAGCCGGCTGCGGCCACCGAGGCCCTCGCTGCCGCCGGAGAGGCCGCCACGGAGACCACCCCGGAGGCCGAGGTCACCACAGAGATCGACTTCAGCCAGCTGCGCACGCGGCCCGACACCATCGTCAAGCTGACGCCGCTGCCGCCCCTGGAGGAGGTGACCGAGGCAGCGACCACGCCGGCCGCTGAGGAGACCACCACCACCGAGCAGCCGGGAGCGCGCCGGCCGCGGCCGCGCCTCTCGTTCGGCGGCGGCTTCCGTCGCCGGCCCGGTGGTTTCCGCGGACGGCAGAGCTCGGAGGAGGAGCAGAAGAAGGAGGTAACCAAGAAGCCGATCGGAGGCCGTCAGCCGGAGCCGCAGCCCGAGCAGGCAGTGGAGGCCGCAGAGGAGCCCGCACCCGGCAGGAGGTTCGGCGGACGCCAGAGCCGCCCGCGCCTGGGTGCTGGTCGCCGTGGACCCGCCAGAGGCCGTCAGGAGCCCGCTGAGAGCCAGGCCGAAGAGACTGATGCCGCTGCTGATGCTGCCCCTGCTGAGCAGGAGGCTGCCGCCCCGCCGCGCCGCCTGTCGCCCGGTGGCCGCCGTGGTCCTCGTCCCCGGTTCGGTGGTCGTTCCAGCCTGCGCGGCCGCTCCCGCCGCCCCGGACAGCCGGAGGTTGAGGAGCAGCCCGCCGAAGTCGAGCCGGAGGTCGCCGCCGAGGTCTCTGAGGAGGCCCAGGCCGAGGTTCAGACCGAGTCCCAGGCCGTGACGCAGACGGAGCAGGAGGTCCAGCCGGCCCCTGAGGCTGTCGCTGAGGAGGAGGTTGCCCCGACGGAAGCCCCGCAGCGGCTGGGCCGCCCGGGACTGCGCGGCAGGGGTGGACGCGGCCGCCGCCCGAGGCCCCGCCCCGGCGCCAGGGCCGAACCCGAGCCTGAGACCACTGATGCCGCCGAGGAGGCCGCCCCTGAAGCCGAAGAGAAGCGGCGCGGGCCCACCGGCCGCAGAGGGTCCCGTTTCCGCCCCAAGGCCACGTTCCGCAGCCGTGGAGGACTCCGCACGCGCGGCCGCCCCTCGCGCCCCTCGGCGGAAGAGGAGCCGGAGGTGACCGAAGCGCCCGCCGCCGCCGTCGAGGAGCCCGCCGCCGAAGTCGCCGTCGAGACCGCTGCCCCTGAGGCTGCCGTTGAGGCTGTCGAAGCCCCCGCCGCCGCTGAGCCGGAAACTCCCGCTGAGAGCCAGGAGCAGCCCACTGACGCCCCGGCTGCCGCCGCCGTTGAGGAGGAAGAGACTGCCGTAGCTGAGGAGCCGAGCAGGCCTTTCGGACGCACCCGCGGCCGCGCTCCCCTGAGGTCATCACGCCTCGGAGGCCGCCGGCGCCCCCGCCCTGGCAGGCGCCAGGAGGAGACGAGCACAGACGCAGAGGCAGTTGAGGAGGCCCCCGCCGCTGAGGCCGCACCCGCACCGGCGCCGGGCCGCCGTTTCGGTGGCTCCCGGCGCGGCCTGGCCTCACGGAGGCCCGGAGGTCGGCGCGCAGAGGCGCAGGCCTCGGAGGAAGAAACGGAAGTGAACAGCATTACCGACTCGACCGCTGAGAAGGAGATCGTCAGGCCCGGCCGCGGCCGCGGCCGCCTCGGTCTCGGTCGTCGTCGCCGTCCCGGCCTCGGCAGGCGCCCGTCCCTCGCCGCCGCCGCCGCCGCTGCTGCTGCTGAGGAAGAACAGAAGAGCGAAGAGCCGGCTGAAGCTGAGACCATCGAGGCCGCTGCCGATGCCCCCGCTGATGTTGCCACTGATGCCGTCGCTGCCGAGGCCGACGCCTCCTCCGAGGCTGAGACCCAGGTCGCGGAGGAGACTCCCGAGCCGGCGCCGGTCGCCCGGGGCCGCTCACTGTTCGGTCGCGGTGGACGGAGGCTCGGACGGGGTCGTGTAGAGGCTGACGACGAGACTGCCGCTGCATCGTCCCGCTCGGAGACCAGCGGAAGGCCGGCTTTGGGCCGCAACCGCAGCCTCCGTCGCCGCCCCGAGCCGACCGAGGACGCCGCCGGTGACGCCGCCCCTGCTGCGGAAGAAGAAGCAACCACCGGCTCTCGGCGCAGCTTCCGAGGCCGCGCTGGCCGCCCTGGCCGCCGCCCGAGCACCCGTGGTTTCCTGGCCAGCCGTGCCCGCGGAGAGGCCGCTGGTGTTGTGGGATTCGCCAGCCAGGAGGGCCGCACTGACAGGAGGGCCGGACCCGCCGCCGCGGAGGCCCCCGCTGCCGAGGAGGCGGCGGTGAAGGCCGCCGAGCCGGCGGAGACGGCTGAGCCTGCCGCCGCTGACGCCGCCCCTGAGGTTGCCGAGGAGCAGCCGGCCGCCGCGGAGGAGGAGGCCCCTGCGCCGCCGGTGGCCGGCCTCCGGTTCCGACAGCGTGGAGCTGCCGGCGGCCGCCGTAACCTGCCTCCCCTGCCGCGCGCCCGTAGCGTCACCCGGCCGGGCGGCCGGCGCAGCTCGCTGTTCAGCCGCCCGCCGGCGCCGGTGCCCGCTGCCGAGGAGCCGGAGGTCACCACCGTCACTGTCGCAGCCGAGGAGACGCCCGAGGAGGAGCCGGCCGCCGCCGAGGAGCCCGCCGCGCCCCAGGGTGAGCCCGAGGAGCCGCAGGTCCCCCAGGAGCAGGAGCAGGAGGTCCCACAGGAGCAGGAGGAGCCCGCGCCGGCGCCGTTGCGGCGTCCGTTCAGCGGCCGCCGCCGCGGGCCGACCGGGGAGCGCCGGGCCTTTATCCCCGGTCTGAGGCGGGGTAGGACCGGGGGCCGGCCGGGCGGTCGGCGACTCGCCTCTCTATTCCAGCGGCCAGGCGCGCCCGCCGCCCCCACCCCCGTCCCAGAACAGCAGGCTGACGAGTCAGAGAGCGAGCGACAGGAGGCGCAACAGGCCATCGAGCTCTTGGTTCAGGGTGAGACCTAGCTTGGCGATCCGGGATGCTGACGCAGGTAATCGGGCTTACGGAGAATGGGCGGCAGGACGCCAGGCGCTTCAGTGCACTGACTGTTTGGGCGTGTAAATTCAAATTGAGTGTTTGAATGTGTGCAATGCTGACATGTGGTGAGCAGTCGCACTGAATGCCCGTGTCCTCCCCACGCTGTGCTTCCCATGAAAACGCTTTCAGCCAGGTAGTGAACGAGACCATTTCCCGTGCATCATGCTTGTTGCCAAATTGTGACTAACTTGAGCATTATCTATGCCTATTTCGAGTCTCTGTTTCTGCACAACGTTCATCAAATGCCTACGACCCACGATGGTCGTCCTTCTCGGCAGCTTCACTGCGCTATCAGAAAACTAGAAAACTTCACTGGTCTGTCCCTTTTCGCATTGGCTTTATTGGAATGCAAGTGTATTGTATGCTATGTATTTGTTATCATTGGCGGATCCATGAATGGCAAGCTGAAAGAAATTCGCTCATTTTGCTTGGTTTGGGGTAATTTTTCACCGATTTCTGACATATTTCGGACATTTCGGCTAATCTCCTCCCCACCCTGGATCCGCCAGCATGAAAGTTGAATGTTGTAAATATGAATCGTAGGGGAGAGTGGGGAAAGATGCCCAGGGTTTTACTATGTCATATATTATTCGAAAATGACGATGGGAAAGCAAAAACTTGGAGTTTCAACGGAAGCCGACATCATTTTTCTCCAAAAATATCACACTTTCGTGCCTGAAATATTATTACTATTTTTGCTATTAAGCATTTTCCTGAAGAAGTGAAAGGGGGCATCTTACCCCACAGGGTGGGAAAGACGCCCCCTGACGTTGGGAAAGATGCCCCCTGCACTATAAGTGACATAAATGGGCACGTGAATCGCCTGAACGAATCAGTAGTCCCTTCGAGCCTGCAGTAGACACCAAACGTCATCATAAGGGCCCTCAAAAGTAGTCGTAAGGGGCTTCAGAGGTCATCGTTAGGGCCATCATAGTCCAGCGCGGCCAAACAAGCCTACGTGGTGGCGTTCGGAGACCACCGTGGGGCTCTTATAGGTCTTCATGATGCTTGAGGGCCCTCGAGCCCATCGTGGGAACCTCCGATGCCAGTGCGGCCCGTGGGGCCAACGTGGGAGCCCTCAAAGGATGTCGTGAGGGGCCCTGGAGCCAGTAATTGGGCCCACAGAGGCCGTCGTGAGGGCTCTCAGAGTCAGATGCCGCCCAAAAAGTCGCTATGTGGGCCGAGAGACCGGCATGGGGAGCACCCGACCGTACTGGACTCTCAATAGTCCCAGATCGGCTTTTGTCTACATCACAAGTATGTAATAAATGATTTGACGGGCTGTTTGAAGGACAGCCTACGGATTTAGGGGGGCGTCTTTCCCCATCAGGACAGGGGGCATCTTACCCCAAGGTACCGAAGTAACATTAAATCAGTACAATTTGTTAGCCATAAAACTACACCATGAAACAAACTGTTTGGGACACAGTACACGCATGCTAATGTATCACGACTATAGCAAGGGACGCAAAAATTATTTACCTTCTTTGATATTTACAATGTTCTGACACCAAAATATTTTTTGAAAGCAGCAAATAAAAACATGCAGTCATCAGCCAGCCGTTGCCCAACTGAGCTTCGCAATTTTTTGTGCCGTTAACAGGGCAGGCTTCCGCTTTACGCTAAGAACATTAATTTCCAGGTCCGATTCTTTGTTTCATCGCTAGAGGGGGTGGGGCGTCTTTCCCACCCTGGGCATCTTACCCCACTCTCCCCTATCTGTTTGTTTTCGCATATCGACTTTAAAGTCTCGCGCGTCACAGGTAGATAAGAATATATCTGTTAATCAATGCCAATCAACAGATTCTTCCACTGCGCTTGCTGCGCTCCTCCCGCCCCCTAACAAAATACCGAGATCGCCCTCATCGTTGACTACTGTTTCCCCCCTTCCATCTCCGCGCTCTCTCTCCCTCTCTGACCCTGTGCTCTCTCCACCACAGAGGAGCTGGCCGCGGTGACCGAGGCCGCCCCTGCTGCTGAAGAGAGCGCCCCGGCCGAGCCAGAGGCGCCCACTGAGGCACCCACTGAGGCGCCCACCGAGGAGCCCACGGAGGCGCCCGGCCCGCGGCGGCGGAACAGGATCCGCCCCCAGCGGCGGGACCGCAAGCCGCGGCCCTCGCTGTTCGAGAAGCTGCGCAGTCAGACGGCGTCCGTCTAACGCCGTGACCTGAGTGACCCGGTGACGTGAGCAGGGAACACGCTGACAGCTGTCGAGGACCTAGGAGATCGTCTTGGGGGCAGCTAAGTCTGCCTATTTCAGTAGGTTCAGTAGAAACCTGCTAAGGTAGACGCCAGCGATGATTCTCATCAACGCAGTGGTCTCCGATAGTTCACGACAGAGCTGGTGTCGCCGAGCTCAGATAAATCGGTATCCCGCGCAGTGTGACGTCACACTTACGTCACAGGCGGCAGGTGGCGTTACAATCACCAACAGAGGCGCAGAACTCTCGGCGCCTCCCCAGTCCTCAATGCAGGCAATCGACAAACTATCGCCAGTGTTTCGAGCGCCACGCGCGCCACTCCAGTGCGATTTGGATGCAGGGCTAGTCAGTGGTCTGCAACATTAGACTGAACGTTCCTAGGCCCGCGAGCCTCGGATTTCACCCGCAACGTGTTGTGAACTCTCATCGCGTCTCTTCGCGGGAAAGGCCTTCTTTTTGTAGTTTCTACGCCCCCGCCTATTTAATAAAACGACGATCGATCCGCGCTAAGTTATCCAACATCGACTGCCAGGCTGATGTCATCAAAGTGACGTCATCATGTTCCAGGCCCGGTCGAGTGTGTGGTACAACGTAGCTCATCATGTTGTTACGTACCGGTTTTAATCGCGACGCGCACACTGCTGGCGGTATATAGGGATAGTGCCATGATTTGTAGTGTCGTGTGGGCGAGCGTGTGTGTGCATTGACGTTATGTGTTGGCGTGCGGTCGGGAGTGAACGATTATGAGCGCTGTGATGTGGTTTTGATTTCCATTCGCCGACAATGTTTGATATTTCAGTCGCATTGAATACACTATCTCCCGCGAAAACGGACTCTCAAAGATAATTGCAGTGTAATGTCGGTGAGTGGGTGACGCCAGGAACACAAATGAATTTCACACCGCGCGGTATTACAGTTCCTTCGCTCTTCAAAGTGGCCAAAGATTGAAAGGACTTAAGGAGACGATTGGTATTTCACCGGTAAACCCATGGAACATCCCTGAGGAGCCCACTGGGTCAGTTTGGAAGCCTCCAGAATACCGGTTGCCGCAGAGACTTTCTTTCACCTTGGGATTCCCACCGGCTTCTGGCCGGGAGTATTTACCGACCGCAGATTAAAAATTGTTCGGCTCACAAAACAGGAAAACTCTGAAAGCTCACCTATTGAAGCTGAAAACAATCAGAATGTTTCAATGCATCAGAACGACTCCGACCTTAACAATCGAAACACGCGAGCCTGAGATACGAGCACAATATCAGCCATGATTGCACTATTCAATTTGGCCGGCATCAGTATGTCTCACTTTCCAACTCCTATTACACAGCAGTTATCGCATCTTTCCTGATGTATTGTGATGAAAAATGACACCCGCCGCACGTCAGACCACTCGGCAAAACTGTTCACAAGCGATCTGTCTCCACCAGTTTCCATCTCACTGTCCGCGTACACATTTATCCACTTCTGTCACAGACACTCACACGCACTCATTCACCGCTCTTCAGTGAAGTATGCACATCAGCCGCTCCCACACACAGCCAAGAGAACCAGGGGGTCTCTCGGAATGATGGAACCCTCATGAAAATTGTCCGGTAAGAGGACCGGGCTAGTTCAGCCGCGAACTGGAGTTCATTAATGTGAGCGACGGAAACTTAGAGCCTTGGGTAGTAGAGATGAAAACCAGCCTTTTCAGGTACCCAAAATTTTAAGCGAAATTGGATGGATCGGCATCGTACATGTGCCTCAGAAAACATTCAGACTGCTGTTGCTGGTAGGTAGCAAACGCAGAGCTTCAGTTTCATGCTTTGACTACACCCATCTCTGAGCAATTCATAGAGCCCCTTCGGCGGCTCAAGAATGCCGCACTTTTTTACCACTGCCAGGCCAGCAAATCAATTTCAGGCCCTTTTAGGAGTCCATTAAACCACAGCATAGATTACATCGACATGAACTGCGCTCAGTCACGTCGTGCCTTGCCTTTGTAAACCGGCCTTCAGCCGCCTCACCCCCAGCCGGCCGCAGCAGGAAGTTTTAGTTACCGCCAGCGCCGACAGGTGTCACTAGATGGAGTACACCTTGAGCGTGCGGTCCATGCTGGCGGAGGCGATGTAGGAACCGTGCTGACCGAACCGCACGCCGGTGGCCAGTGCCGTGTGGTCGGTGAACGTCACCAGCTCCAGCCACTGCTTGCACATGTACACCCTGGGGGAGCGCGGGGGGACGGGGGTCAGATGGGCACGGAAACATTTTAGTCGACACGACAAGGAAGAGAAAGAGCAAACAGACGAGCCACCATGCGGTTAGTTTAACTAATCACCAGTCTTTTACCATTTACAAACCTCAGGACTCAAAGATGCTCATCTGATCACAACACCTTCCTCCGGGCTGGTGGTCACCCCATCACGCACGTCCGCAAACCTAGACAAGTCCGCGTCACGCCCAACTCAAACGATACGCCCGTCTTCCTTCCCCACGATCCTTCAGCCCTGTTCCATTCGTCCTTTCCACTCCCTAGTCTCACCTGACGTCGGTTCCTGCCACGGCCAGGTAGGTTCCGCTCTGGTCGAAGCACAGATCCTTCACCTCGTAACCATCGTCCAGCTGGATCGTCTTGAAGTTTTTCAGTTTGCGCAGATCCCACAGTTTGACGGACGAGTCATCGGTCGATGTGGCCAGGTAGTAGCCGTTCTCAGAGAACGAGATGGCCGTGATAGGGCCCGAGTGACCTGCAGGGGCGGGGCGGGGACGCATGTCAGCAAGGTGCGTCAAGGGCTGGATGATTCTTTCTGTGATTGAAATCAGTGCCGAGTCCCTTATTTAATTAGTACGTGATACAATATGAGTAGCTTGAAATGAGACAAAGCCTCAGTTAATTGTACGATCCTTCACAGCTTAGGTATCATGTAAAAGATCCCCCACACTGCCGCCTTACTGGGGAAGTTGGCGACGTTGCTGCGCTCCTTGAGATCCCAGATTTTGATCTGCGAGCCGGAGGTGCCAGTGCCAAAGATGAGACCGTCCGGATGGAACTGAGCGGTGGTGAAGCCGCTGGAGCTGTTGTCAGCCACCTGGATCCAGACAGAAGGGCCAGAGAGGGTAGGAGTCACACTCGGGGCACGGTCGGTTGACAAAGTATAGGTCAGGACATATGCAACAAATTCATAATTATTTCTGGCGACGAGCAATTCAGGAAAGTTACCATATACCATTATATTCGTCCTGCGTCTGGACGTGTCACATTGTGCTACCACCATCCAGAGATCACTTATTCGAAAGACGAAAATATTTACATCCACAATGCCATTCTCTTCCCTTCCACGCCACTCTTCGGATAAACGAAATCTAAACCACTTGATCAGCCTAGTGAACCCAGGGAAACTGCGTCTCTCTCTTCCTATCTCCCGGTCCCTCTGCCACTTACCTTGGTGAGCACGCGGCCGGTTCGCACGTCGGTGAAGGCCCAGTTCTCGTCGCTAGAGCAGCTGAGCACGTAGTCTCCGGTGGCGTGCAGTGACAGACCGGTCACGGGGCCGTCGTGAGCGCGGATCAGCTGCACGGTCTGGGAGGTGGGCACGTTCCACACGCGGATCGTGGCGTCCGGGGAGGCGCTGAGTACCGTGTCCTGGGAAGGGGCGGAGGGCAACGGGGTCAGATAGAGTCGCAAATGATAGTGGTGTTGATGCGTGGGTAGTGTTGGTAGGGCTGAGCTAGTTTCTAAACGTAATCATGCACACAGGAAACGTTAAGATCCGGCATGCAGCAATAAAAACGAAAATGTAGGTTCAGCGCTAAGGCAAACTCGTAAATATATGGGGCACTAGGCAGTAGGCACTACAAACTGCGTAAACTGTAATAACAAAAGTAGACCGTTTAATGACGGTTCGCCATATTTGGTTGTAGAAATCTTTCAAATTTAATTCATTGGCTATCGAGCATCGCATCCAGTTCCTTCCTTGCCAATCCAAAGCACCCCCGCTCCTCACCAGCCACCCCTCTCTCCGACGGCCCCTCTCGGCGGCTCTCTTACCTCCTCCGGATGATAGATGACCTTTGTGACCTTCTTGGTGTGACCCTTGAGTATGCAGACCACCTGTTCGGTGTCCTTGTTGAAGACGGTGCAGTTTCGGTCGCTGCCGGCCGTGACAATCTTGCTGGTGTCCTCCTGGTGCACGTCCAAAGACAGGATACCCGGCACAGAGGCGCTGTGCAGACCCTATCGGCATGAGGGGCGGGGCAAGGGTTAATACATGGGGGTATGATGGTAATGACAAAAACAAACTGCTGACACAAAGTGGTGACCACAAGCGGCCATACTAGCAATATAAGAGACATTACAGGACCGACACGTGGGTCGTTAGAAAAGCATTTAACGTCGCAGATAGTTTAAACCCAGACATCCAAGACATAATTACCCTCTCTCCGAAACGTTAGTTATTTTTGCACTGACCGGGTTGCTGCTGACTGTCCTGTAGCTGCGCAGGGTCTCCGGCGTCACCAGGTCCTCTGGCACCGTCTTGCCGCGCTTCTTCCGCTCCTGCGTCAGCACCGTGGCCTTGTCCTGCAGCTGCTTGATGACCTCGGCCGTCATGCCGGCCTCCGGCTGCGCCTGCTCGGGCTTGGCGGCCGTGTCGACAGCCGCCGCCGGCTGGGGTGTGTGCGCGCCCACCGCCACCGCCGCCGCCGCCGCCGACGGCACGCCCGCCTGCGGTTTGAGCGTGGCCAGCGCCTCGCGGGCGGCAGTCACCTCCTTGGTGAGGCGCGCGATGACGCGGCAGGCGGCGTCGTGCTGGTAGAGCGCGTGACTGAGCTCCTGACGGGCGGTCTGCAGCTGCTGCCGCAGTGTGAAGCTGTGCAGCATCACGGCGTCCCACTCGTCCTGCAGCGACTTGAGGATGGCCGGGATACTGGTGGCCGACGGCGCCTTGGGCTTCACCAGCGCCGACACTGCGGAAAGGTGGGGATGCGGTTAGACCTTAGATGGGTAGACGGCTAATATGCCTATGAGAGTCAGATGTTTTATGCTTGCTAACAAAAAACAATCGAGGACTCACGTTAACTCATTCAAATCACGAGGACTCACCCATATTCGACTCGTCGTAACTGAAGAATAAAATAGGCCAAAAATTGAAGCAGCCAAATAAGACAACAATACAGCAATGGTTTTGCCTGAAAACCATTCCCTAATGACGGACACACTACCGGCGGTTCATGTCACCGGCGACAAATGCTGTCATTGTCATCGTCGGTTACCTTTGATATCGATGAGGTCGTCTGCCGAGAGCGGCTTGTTGGCCACCGGATCGACGCCATTATCGGTGATGTATTTCTCGATGAGGCGGCGCTCGAACACGGCTCCGGACACGGGCGAGACGCACGGGTGTTCTGGCGCCTCGTTACTGACTGTGAGTGAGCATTAATGGAGTGAGAGACTGATTGAGGGAGAAAATAGGGTGGCGGGGGGGGGGGGGGATGGGGCAGACGCCTATGTCTACTAGAATCATTATGTTTCATGCCTGTAAAACATGCATGAAAAGGCAAATAATGAGAGACATTTGAGTCACACAACAATATATTAATACAGTTAATTTCTAATTACAGAACCGATGAGTTGCCATTTACTAGTTAGCGATCAATCAAATAGGCAGTGTGGAAACACAGAAATAAAAGAAATGTTTTTGGCAGGAAGTTTTAACAGCTAGAAGTCAAATGCTATTGACAGTTGGCATTGGCATCAAATTATTACCTACACATATTATTTTCTTACTAAAATACTGATCATATAAAACAAACTAAGAGTGTGCATTCAAAGAAAAACATAAATAGTGACTGATTAACACAGGAATATAGCAACAGTGAAACAGCCAAATATCATTGGCTGTTGGACGTTGGTATTTTCATTTCCAAAAGCTCCCCATAAGCTTAACCAGCCAAGCATTACAAATTGATTAGGTACTGAAACATATCAAGTAGGCTGTTATTCACTGATATATCAGTGTTTATTTTCTTGTGTACAGCTGGTGAAATTTAATGCAAATAAGGGCAAAAATAACTGCAGCTGATCATTCTTCTGTTGGTAAGACTAGTCTAAGGAAAAAAATGGTAGGGTAAGCTTATAGATAAATAGGTATTCTTATAGCGAAACTGCTGCCACCCATCTGTGAAAAGTCGCTAGACTAGAGATATTTACACAAATTTTACTTATCAAAGTCACTCAACAAATGGTCTTCATCAACCAGGTAAGAGTCTTACAGGGCAAAATATATTTGATCTAACTTGAACTAACCTTACCTACTAACCTACAACCTAACAATCTACAACCTACAACTACCAATGTGCAACCTACAACAAAATTCGTGTAAATATCTCAATCTCAAGAACTAGTCTAACAACTTTCCACAAACAGGTGACAGCATGTGATATGCCTGGTATAAAATGCCCAGAAATATTTCAGATGGTATAAGTAAGCCTGGCATCCCAGGAAGATGCTAGATATCGTTGTAGGTTGTAGGTTTGTAGGGTAGGTTGTAGGTAAGGTTTGGTCAGGTCAGAGGCCTCTTGCACCAAAATCCTCTTGCACCAATGCTTGGATTATTTTGCATCATATACCCAGTCCAAGTCTCAATGTAACAATTTCCATGCAAAATTTAGCAAGCACATATAGGATTATGCATTGGGCTATTGCAAACAAATTTACCACCGCTAGATTAGCTTATTCTGAAGCCGGTTTTTCGATTTTACCTAGCTGGGTAGTTTGGTGCAAGAGGCCTCAGGGCTCAGGTTAGTTTTTTTTTGTCTTTATATCTCTGTCATCCCAATCTGCCATCTTCCTGGGATGCCAGGCTTACTAATACCTTTCTATTATACTTATATCTTTCTATTATACCTTTCAGACTTCAATCAAACGTGCTAAGGGATGGACGTCGAACAATAGGCATAAATTACGACATAATGATGCAATTTAAATATAAAATATGGACGGTAAAATAAATGATGAATAAAATACGCAAGAAATTACAAGAAGTCGATCAAAATATCACTTTAAAATCAAATTACCCAAATCAATCAGCATATTCAATGCTGAAACAAAAAGAGGCAATCATAACGCAGAGGAATCCGTATTTATTCTCGCGAAAACATGACGATATAATTTACCAATTACTGGATAGAATATATTGAAATATGCACTTACTTGCGCATACAAAAGCCATTACGCACAACCAGAAATATCAAATAATATATCGATTTTCACGCAATCACCCGGCAGAAACACGCGCTACCTGCCGTCGCACGATCAATGCTTCTGAATAAGAATCTTAAATAAAAATATAGGTTTCAAAAATGACGTCATCAAATCTTACGCCTGATGCTTTGATTGGCTAATATTCTTCTTTTATTGCAGTTGATTGGTCACTTACCATGACGTCATAAAAACGTACATGAATATAGGCGGCGTTCGATGTCTCCCGGACGCAAATTTACAAACTGTATACACGTCTTCGGAGACCGAGCCGTGACGTCATGCCAATGGGCGGAGCGAAGGGCTGTAGCGGCGCTTGGCAGGTGACGTCAAGTGCAGGGGCGGAGTGGAAGACTCGCGGATCGTGGAGCTTACCTACTCGATGAGAAATTGTAATGTTGTGTTGAATATTTACAACTAGCTAAAACCCCTGATCTTGTTTGGGAAAATAGTTCATCCGAAAGACTATAAGCCTATAAGTAATATAAAGCAAACCCCTCTTATTGACGAACGCGGTTAGAGTGGGTGGTATGAAACGACGCGTCTCGACCGTCTCCGTGTTGTTTGCTAGGTTTGCACGCTGTCAGTGCACGGGTTTTGTGCATTTCGCCGAAAATCATTCTGGATTCTAATGAAATCGGACGTCTAAATAGGCCGACTCGGCGGCGCTCTGAACGGCAGACGGCTTAAAAGATCAACTTGAAACTTAAACGCCCGTCTAGCGGCATCGATTTTGGCGAGGCACTTTTCGGATCTCTAACTATGCTCCAAAATGCCGAAGATCTCTAACTATGCTCCAAAATGCCGAAGATCCGAAAAGTGCCTCGCCAAAATCGATGCCGCTAGACGGGCGTATAAGTTTCAAGTTGATCTTTTAAGCCGTCTGCCGTTCAGAGCGCCGCCGAGTCGGCCTATTTAGACGTCCGATTTCATTAGAATCCAGAATGATTTTCGGCGAAATGCACAAAACCCGTGCACTGACAGCGTGCACACCTAGCAAACAACACGGAGACGGTCGAGACGCGCCGTTTCATACCACCCACTCTGACCTGCAACATGCGTGTGAGCCGCCAACCGCGTTTGTCAATAAGAGGGGTTTGCTTTATATTACTTATAGGCTTACGTAAAACCGTCCAATTAGACGTCGGAGCTCATGAGAGAAGCTCGCCGTTCCGAGATTCGAACTCGGCTCCTCTAGGTAATATGCGAGGACCATAGCCACTTGGCCACAGGCGCTTGGTGGACGGTCGGTCTGATTGACATTTAAACTTTGCAGGCAACTGTGTTTACCAATTATGCTATCGTAAGTATTCTCATCCATGATACTCGTCGCATCACATCAATCAAACAATCAAAATCAATCACGCTGCAACCATCTATACCAATACGGCCTTGGCAACGATTGTTTACAAACAAAATCGCGCGCTCGCCGCACTGCGCCGCCCGCCGCGCTGTAAAAACAGCTGGCTAACCAACTTCGCTCCGCCCCTTCTCTGACGTCATGGCCGACGTCACGCCAGCGGCTGGTGCAATATGATTGGCGCTCCGAAGGCGTGTATACAGTTTGTAAATGCGCCTCCCGGACGGCAAAGATTCTTTGCCGTCCAGCCAATTCCGTCCAAGGTCAGCGGGGGCTCGGCTGCGGTTATGAAACGTGATTGGCCGGATGGCGTAGAATCTTCGCCGTCCGAGAGACATCGAACGCGGTGATAATGTAAGCTGCACAAGCAAAAGGCGCTTCAGTTGTAAAAATTGTAAATATGTAATGTAAACACGTGTTTTTGGTGTTTGTCATGTTGTGGTCAATATAATGTTATGGGTGTGTCGGATTGCGCTTTCTGATAATTAACTGACACATATATTATATGCTGATCACAAATCACTAAAAGATGCCTTGATTCAATGGCATAGCTTTGAACCTGATCAGTCTAGGACTAGCACAGTGTCTTTGAGCTATTTTGTTCTGAGCTCAAACTTGATTCTGATTTGGACTGCTAAATGTTTTCACTATTCTTATTTCAGACAATGGATGAGCCATATCCAACTGATGACCTACCAGCAAAGGATATCTCAGTATGTGATGGATCGGATGGATCCATCCTTGCAGCAGTCAATCCAACTGAACCAGCTAAGCAGGAGGGGCTGGAACCAATGGCAGTGGACATTATCACTGGCAATCCTGTACAAAGTAAAATGCTGATGGCTGCTAATGAAACCAGCAGCCAGGCCACAGGTTCTGCTCAGAATGCGGGTGATCCTGTATGCGAGCCATCTGATCCTGTTTTGGAACACCCTGAGCCACCCACTGAGGCTGCTGATCTGTCTCTGGAGGCTGGAGAGGCTGTACCAGAGGTGACAGGTGACAGCACAGTGTCCCAGCAGCCTGAGGGCATGGTCACAGACAGGGGTTCCCTCAGCTACACTGGTGAGCCACAGCTCCTCACTACTGTGACTGCACCATTCTCGGCCAGCAACTTCACCAAGGGCTGCAAATGGTGAGCCCAGAGGATTACCAGTCTCACTTCTCATCTTGTCTTCATCCTTTTGGGTGCAAAATGGCCTCGCAGTCGGCGCGCCCCTAACCCCCAACAAACAAGGAGAGCCCTTTCAAAGGAACAAGGGACTTTTCCTCATTCACTCAATTAATGAATATGGCTTGGGGTTTCAGATTTAAGTAAAGCTTAGCATCAGCAATATTTAATCATTAAGGTCTGGTAGCTGCCACTTTTAGGCTGGGTGCTTATTCACTTTATCACCAAAGTAAATCCCACCATTCAATGCACACATGACTATCACAGTAACCCTTCTCACCAATGACCTCTCTCCTCTCAGGTCACCAGATGGCACCTGTCTGCTGGTGTGCAGCGAGGACGGTTGTCTGCGGGTGCTGAACCTCCCGGAGTCGCTGTACAGCTCCGCGGCCACCGGCGCCGCGCCCGAGACGCCCCTACCACCGCCCCCGGTGGCGCTCCAGTCGCGAGAGGGGGAGCTCATCTACGACTATACGTGGTTCCCGCTGATGAGGAGTGACGACCCTGCCACCTGCTGGTGAGGTTATGGCATCTAATGGTTACTGGAAGGGAGGTTTTGTGGTTTTGTGACGGGGAGGACGATGGGTATTTGGATCAGATATCGAGACTCCTATTTTGACTTATAAATTTAACTTACATGTACCCGGTTGAAATGTCCAAAGGCCCAGTTTTGACTGTGTTGTTAACGCTCTCTTCCGATGCTTATCTATGAAATACCAACAGAAGTTGCTTCTTCCCGCAGCTACGCGTCCACGAGTCGGGCTCACCCGATACACCTGTTTGACGCCTTTGACGGAGGGCTGCGCTGCTCCTATCGTGCCTACAACAGGTGGGAATAGTGAGGTCGGCAACACGAGCAGAACGGAGCTTCGAGTTTCGACAGCATCGTAACGCACGTTTCTGTCTTTACGATGTAGATATTTACGACATCCGTGTATGACACGCAGTTCAATATATTATCTCTGCTCTTATTCTACGGCGCAAATACATTTTAATGAAGTCGTCGCTAGACGCTATAAATATCTGCTTTGTCGTGATCACGCTGCAGTTCTCGTAACCCTGACGAGCTGCCTCCCCCTCTGCCCCCTCAGCGTGGACGAGGTGGCGGCAGCGTACAGCGTCGCCTTTGACCCGTGTGGGGAGCGGCTCTTTGCCGGTCTGGACGGCTGTGTCAGCGTGTTTGACGTCAATCGGCCTGGGAGACAGATGGAGACGCGGAAAATGAAAGGTGCGTAGTTATAAGATTCATGGCGCTGTAATATTCGTGTTCCGTACCTATTATGAAGCGGTTACAATCAACAATGAATGCGTATTTGTTTGATGTCCTGAAAACATGGATTACGCTCCTGCACTTGACAAGTGCCAGCGAATAGTTGCTATTTTTTGTTTTGCATTAGGAAGTCGAATAATAATGCTAAATAATTTTGTCTGCATCTAAGAACGAAAACTCTGAACACTTTGTCGTTCTTTTTTACTTTGGATAAGTCTTACTGACGGTAACATTTTTATGTCATTAGCTTGTCATTTATAACAACACTTGATGACCCTAATTATCAGATATTTTCGTGGCAGCGAAATATCTGACCCCTCTCGTTCTGCTGTGTCCACAGACAAGCAGAGCCTGACCTCCCAGCCGGGCCTGGTCTCCTGTATACGGTTCTGCGCCGCCGCACCGGACGTGTACGCCACCGGCTCCTATCTCCGCTCTATCGGCCTGTACGGCACGGAGGACGGCGCGCCTCTGTGCGTGCTACAGGGACAGACGGGCGGCGTCACCCACCTCCAGTTCAGCCAGGACGGCCGGCGACTGTACTCGGGAGGACGGAAGGACCCGGAAGTACTCTGCTGGGACCTGCGGAACCTGGGGAGGATTCTGTTCTCCATGCAGCGGAATGTGACCACGAACCAGCGGGTGTATTTTGACACCGACTGGAGCGGGAGGTATCTGTTCAGTGGTGAGTAGCTGCGTCGCCTGGGGCGGTGGGGGGAGTGTTGGGAAGGCACTCTGAGCAAGATTACTTTATTATTATTAACTGAGAAGGCTGTGTTGTGTGTTAGATAGGAATGCGTGGGAAGTCAGACGTGGACTACCTTTCAAGTTCGGGTCAAACTCGGCGATCTTGGCTTTGACGGCTTTTAAGCTACATTTCATTTAGCATTTTATTGCACCTTTCTTCTGCATTTCGTATTTGTTGAAGTGGAACGTTTCCTTAGCATTGTTAGTGATCGTTCGTCGCATAAGTATCGTTCACTGACACCAACTCCCGCTCCCCGCCGGCAGGTGACTGTGACGGCTGTGTCCAGGTGTGGGATACCATGGAGGACCCGGCCTCTGACCTCAGCGAAACACTCTTGCTGCCCAGCGTCCGCAAGTTTGGGGCGCACCGGGACTGCTGCAACGGAATAAGGTAAGACGTGCTGGCGACTGGCCGACTGGAGAAACACTGGACTGATAACTGCAGACGGGCGTGTTGTGAAAACGTACGATGTAGCGGAAATGTTATACATTCCGAGACTGGCTTTCCTCGATCATCTGGTATTGTCAGCTGGTATGGTCAGTCCCCACTCTCCTTAACCCGACCTAAACCGACCCGTGTTTTTCAGCGTGCACCCGTGGCTGCCGGTACTGGCCACCTCCTCTGGCCAGCGGCACCTGTCCGATCTGCTGGACTCCAGTGACGAGGAGGAGGAGGAGGAGGAGGAGGAGGACGGTGATCCGCCCCACCGCCGTCAGGAGAGCTCCGTTAAACTGTGGTGGGTAGGTGACTGATGGACCGAGAGATCCCTCAATATGTGTTAACTTATGGACCTGATCGTGCCGTCAATATGTAGTGGCTGAGGCACTGACAGTACCTTCATCAAGTGTGTGAAGAACGGGAACTTCCATGCTTCCCTTTCTCACCGGCTCAAGGAACCTTGGCAAATTTTGTCACATCAACGCTTAAATGAAGGCCGTCATTCACTCAGCATCAACATCATACCCGGCCTGAGTAACACTTGTGAACACGAGGTCCCGGGGCTGCACCAGCTACGACAGCGAGCTGTCCGACGTGAGGCGGAGCAGGAGCTGGCCGCCGTCAAGATGCTCTCACTTGGAGGGGACAGCACAGGTCATTGGCGCTGTGTGAGCAGGATGTGTTAGGCCGGCGCCATTTCCGTTTTCGCGACTCGCGACTTGACGCAGGACCCACAGCTCATGTGTCTGCTGGAGTTCCCACGTGAGGATCTGATAAAGGTGTATCGGTAACAACCGCTCGAAAGGCAGGGACATGACGGTGTCCCAGGCGGCCAGACTGACCCTGGACGACTTCAAGGGTAGCAACCGTGCTCTCACAATATGGGGCCAGTACAAGTCCACGCTGCGCTGCATCAGCTGCGGGACCCAGTCGGTGAAGTTCGAGGCGTTTTCACACCTCTCCGTGCCGATGCCAGCCAGGTCCAGTCAGTGCTCGCTGCACGAGTGCATCCAGCCTTTTGTGGCGGGCGACACAATCAGCGGCTGGGCTTGCCCGGAGTGTCAAAGCAGCGACGGGGCCACCAAGCGGCTGAATATCTGGCGTCTTCCATCAGTACTGATCATCCACGTACATCGCTTTTTCAACGATGGCGCATGGGGGGGGGGGGTAAGAGAAGCAGTGTAACGTCCAGTTCCCTTAAGAAAATCAGGACATGTGCTGACTGAACTTGAATGTGTTAACAGCGCCGTTCTTTGTGTTCCTCAGAGGAAAGGGCTGTGATGTCATTTCGCCTCATTTTGTATACCTCTGGGGCCGTATTCACGTCGACTTCTTAAGTCGATTTTCTTTCGTAAGTATAATTTGGTATTCACGTCGTCACTTCTTAAGTTTTTATCGACGGAGTTCACGTGAATAAAAAAAATTTACTTAAGAAGTAGGTCAAACTTAAGAAAATTCTTACGAAAATGATGGACGTGAATACGGCCCCTGGTCACGAATCAGGTGTTAGTGTAATTAGTTGGAAAGAATTATGATGAAATGTCTACGTTTTGTATGGTTTTTAATATATCAGTCATTGTCGAGTATGTCGAACGCCAGTTCAAGTAATGCCATTTCCCATATTGCGGCTTCAGGTAGCCAGAAAACACGTCTCGTCTCTTGCCGTATATTTGACACGACTCTTCCAAATAGCCATGACCAGACCACACGCCGCATCTCTCGGCGTGTATTTCACTGGCGGCCGCACACTGCACAGCCCGAGGCCAGGCATTTTCCATATACAATCACCTATGACATTTGTCTCTCGGCTCCGTTCCGACACTCGCCGTGTAACAATCCGGCCACGGCCGCCGTTATTGAATACGGCTCTGAATTACATAGCGGTACCGTGTAATACGGTAGAAATACAGTGATTGCACAAATATAACCAGGGTTTGAGGAGAGCCACGCTACACTGCATCACAAAACCTTCCGGTCTACAGCTTTCTAATGTGCGAGTGACTGCTAGAGAGACCTCGAGCACAATCTCAGCCACTAAACACAACAGCCAGCGCGATAGGTGAAAGAGTTGACGAAATACGGTACTCTAACCTGTTCCCTCCCTTCATCAGACTACCGGCAGTGGGTGCAGGCACTTTCCGGCACAGAACATACACAGCACAGCGCACAGTCCTATGCCAAACTCAGCAAGCTCAAACGATGAATACTCCCCTCGCAGCGGCTCTGCCTGCCACACACCTCAACAGCCATGCCATACAATACCCTTCTTTTGAATCTCCAACCATTGCGACTCTGATCAACAGGAATGTGTAGAAAACGGAACGCGTCATTACAACGGCAAGCTCTGTGTGAACGATTACTACGAATCTGCATCAAACATTGCATTGAAGAATCATCAAGAAGTGGCAAGAGGATAAACAGTACACATTGCATTTGTAACGCTGCCACCAGCTCATTGCTAGGGAATGATATACATATTAACTATAATTGAATCCAGGATATTATTTTGCAGCAACGCATATCCCCTACATTTAGAATGACGAGGCGTGCTCAACCCGCTATCATACCTATTCCATTAATTATTTCGAATCTCCGGTTTTTTTTGGCACCCATAAAAACGTAAAGCAGTATGAATTTTGCGCCGACGATCCAACACCTAAGGCTGCTGTCCAACGGTTAAAACCTATTTGTAAAAACGTGTTGATAAACATACCTCGGGTCAAGATTGAAGCGCTAGGCCAGAACGAAGAACCTATACAGCGATACGCGACGAAAAAGTTCAACGCAAGTACACAGAAAATTAACTACAAGTCCCGGATGAACAGTATTTTGCTAAGAACAAGTTGAATATTATAATACAAACAGAGCATATGAACACAAATGAGTCAAGTCATCTACAATCTTGCATTGTTTATCGAGCTCTGAAACATGACATTCAAGTCATTCATTAGCTGACATTCCGATTGTTGCGGGTATCGGCATCCGCATAAAACTCCGTCCACAACCCTGGAAACCGTGATCGATCCTCGCATACATACCTATCCATTCCCGCCAGCGTCTCCGTAAACAGTGGGCACTTTCCACGTCCAGGCAAGTCAGACAACTGTTCAGCTCGGTTCTCCCACCTCGGCGTTGTGCACTGGTCTTAGTGTCTCGAGCAGAGCTCAGAGGTTACTCCTGGACAGCATCAGCTGCTGCATGCCGTCCAGGCTGGAGGCCACCGAGTCGTAGAACTTGTTGACGTCACACTCCTCGCTGCTCACGAAGCCCGAGATGTTGATGTTGAGCCTAAAGAAGACACGAGAGAAGAAGCCATTGCAGACGGAAAGACAATCCACACCGAACTTGATTACACTAACAAATCGACGCGGAAGCCTTCCGGTTGGAGACCTCATCAAATGCCCTTCGTAAGTCTTTCGCAACTAAATCCGCCCATTACCGGATAAAAAAAAAACGACATGCACATCAAAAGTGACCGACCTCCCAGCATATTTCATATCCACGGAATGCCGTGAATGTCACAACCATTTCCCCAGCTCCTTAGCACGCGTCTCTTGACCTTGCTGACTCATCCCTCTACATTTCTACCCATCCCCCTCCTTCATCTCACCGGTCCGGCTCGATCGAGTAGAAGCAGCCGCAGCCCTCCCGTACATTGGCCCACCTCACTACCCAGTCCCTCTGTATTCCCCGCCTCTCCCAGTTTCCCTTGTCTCACCGATCTGGCTCGATCGAGTAGAAGCACCCGTAGCCGTCTCGAACCATGGCGGCCGTCACACCAAAACACGGCGTGTAGCCTGTGGTGCTCGTCGAGAGCACGAAGTTGCCGCTGCCGCCGCTGCAGGAAAACCAGTGGTGGGCTCAATAACGGACAGATCATGATGATATGGGCTTTGAATATGGAACTTCAGATCTTGTGGTAAAAAGCTAAAATATGACCTTTGTATTTAGTGCACACCAGTGGGCTGCATTCCACTTCAATATTGAATACAGGTCACGATATTACTATAAATGTTAACGATACGATACTTTTCATTAGGTACAGTCACCAGCACTTGCTACTAATCACCTCGTTTTTGCTCAGTAGTTTGAAGACCGATCAATTCTCAGTCGAGCAAGATACGTCAAACGATCGGTTTGGTCCTCCGATTTTCGAATATCTAATTTGTTTTTGTATGTTCGAAGCATTTTGGGATGAGGAGCCAAAAAACGTCTTTTCTGCCCTAAAGTTGCCCCAAGAAGTCGTAGAACTTAGCCCCGCCTCTGATCCACAGACCACTAGTGCCATCTCTTGTCAGCCGAACAAACCGCAGAAGTAAATAATGTCACGTGACCTTTGCACACGCTACAATTACTACGCAGTTGTAGTGGGGGAAGCGGGGCGGAGGCGTGGAGAGGGACGCGACCGGTCGGCTGGGGTCAGGTCGCCGAGGTCAGAGGTCATCCGCCGGAGGGTGTTTGGGCGGTTGGGCCGTGTGGGTTGGGGCCTGCGGAGTGGGGAGCGCCTGGACCTGTCTGGAAACAAGTTCTACAGCGCTGTGGCAGTCGAGAATATTGTGAGAAAAGAGAGAGAGAGTAAGAGAGAGAGGAGAGAGAGGGAGAGGGAGAGAGGATGAGGGAGAGAGGGAGAGGGAGAGAGGGAGGGAGAGAGGGAGAGAGAATGAAAAAGGGAGAGAGATAGAGGGGGAGAGAGAGAGAGGGAGAGAGAGAGAGGGGGAGAGAGAGAGAGAGAGAGAGAGAGAGAGAGAGAGAGAGAGAGAGAGAGAGAGAGAGAGAGAGAGAGAGAGAGAGAGAGAGAGAGAGAGAGAGAGAGAGAGGAGAGAGAGAGAGAGAGAGAGAGAGAGAGAGAGAGAGAGAAGAAAGACTGGAGGGAAGGGATAAGGACGGGAGGAGAGAAAACAGAGACAGAAAAGGAAAACCAGGGAGGGTAAAATGAGAGAGAGGGTAATGGGTAAATCAGTGAGTGGGAGCGAGAGAGAAAATATTTAAATGTGTCAGCTCTTGTTTCGTATGTAAAATGTTAATTTGCTTTCCATCATTTCAGCTTCGGATTGGAAATTAAATCTTAGCATCCTTATGATAAACAAACGCTGACGGGATGGGGACGTTTTTATGGTCGTCGTTGGCAGCTCGGCACTAATGGGGATGATGTTGAGGGTTTCGCAAATATTTCATAAAAGAGATGCTATTTTTTGCATCACCTATTAAACATTTTTTTACGTTTGCTATGAAAATGTTACGCCCAGTTCCTTCAAGATCAGCTCCACGACTCCACAGCTTACAACAGGAGTTAGCTAACATAACAATTCACCCGAGCCGTGTTGATGGCATGAACTTTCCGTCGAGTGCTGAGGGGGGGGGGGGGTGTTTCACGCCCCTCCGTCTAACTCAGCTCCTGGGCCACGTTGCGACACGCGGTAAGCGGCAATCGAAAGAGCGTCAAAAATAAGAAGGAAAACACTCGGTCATTTTAAGGTCAGGGCAAAGGTCAGGTCACCAGAGTTCATCAAAGGTCAAATTTTGTCGATTTCAACGATTTTAAACAACCGACGACTAACTCTGGAACCAATAGACTACAGCGCCTTGGAAAAGCGCATTCGATAGCTCTTTTAACGCTTTTTCGCCAACATATCCTCAAATTTGACCTCAGATCAACGGTTTGGCCCCCAGAGGGCACCGCTCTGATTGACTTCAAATTTGACCTCAGATCAACGGTTTAGCCCCCGTGTTTTCACCGCTCTAGCACGTCTCTATCAAATCAAAAGTTATAGTAAAAAACTGCTGAAGACCTTTCATGACCTGAGATGACCTCAGGGGCACACAAAGGGGGCACAGGTGCAATTTCCCGATTCAGAGTGTCATGTTTACATATGAACCGATGTTTGAGAGGGTGTAGAACGACATTCGGCCAAAAGCGGCTCATTTCAATTTTCTCCCATTGATTTATATGGAGCAGTCGTAAAATTGAACTGACCTTAGGTCACAACTCACAGATATAGAAAAAAAATCCGAGATATCCATTTTATACATACTGTTACCCTAAGCAAGTACTGAAAGTTTAAAAGTGATCGCTCAGTCGGGGTAGCCACAGCGAGCTTTCGAACTTTTTCTGAGGTAAGGTCACTTAACGTTACCTGGTGACCTGACCTTGAATGACCGGGATCTGAAATTTTCATAGCATGTGCGAAAAAGATGTCGGAGGGAGCGGGTGTATCTAAAACAGCGGCGCTACGCGTCGCCGTTTTTTAGATATTCGCGAAAAACCTAGGGGGGGGGGGCGTAAAAACTCCCCCCAGGACGGCGCGGATCAAACGGCCCCTGAGACCTCGGGATGGTGCCCCTGAGACCTCGGGATGGTGCCCCTGAGACCTTAGGATGGTGCCCCTGAGACTTCGAGATGGTGCCCCCTCAGACCCGGGGAGAGTGCTCCTTCAGACCTCGGATTTCGGAAAAGTGCCGCTGGAAACTTGGAATGGTGCCCCCGGAGACTTCGAGATGGTGCCCCCAGACCTCGCGATGGTGCCGCTGGAGACCTCGGGATGGTGCCCCGGACCCTCAAGATGGTGCCCTCTCCGACCTTGGGATGGTGCTCGCGGAGAACTCGGGATATTGCCAGCTGAGAACTCGAGATGGTGCCCCGCGGACCTCGCGATGGAAATAAATGGACAATATTAAACTAAAAACTAAAAAACTAAACTTAACTAAAAAAAAAAACGAGGCGAGGGACAGAAATGGGCCTCCGGGAGACCCCGAAAACGGTACCCTATTCCGATAGACCTGGATGGTACCCCCTTAGGAGACCTCTGGGTTAAAGCTCCCGTCGGTAACCTCCGTGATGAATTTAAAAAAAAAACAACTCCGTGATGGGCCCCGGGAGACCCAAGGGGGGGGGGGAGAATGGCCCCCATGCCCCCCTCTGGATCCGCCACTGAAATGATCTGACCCAAGACCTTACCTAAAAACGACCAAAAGCCTTCCTTCATTGTCCGAAAACCGCTGACAGTTGATAGCTCAATGACACTAGAGCCGTGCATAAGGAGGCGTGAAAACACTCTCCTCATCTCGATCTATTACGAGAGGACCATGTCAGGGCGTGAGAAAGGTGTTCTCAAAATAGATGACACTGTATGAATGAGTAAATAATTCGCGCCCCGTTGTGTTATTGGCGGACCCTACCACCTGATGGGTGGTGCAGCCGTTTCGTCCTCCACCTGAGATCTCGGAAAGTTACCGACCGATTTTGAAAATTCGAAGAACGTTCGATAGCCCCACCAGGGAACTACCTTGTTACCAGGTTTCGTTGACCTAGGTGCAACCCATGATGTCACAGGTCAGGTCAAATGTTGCATTTTTCACCGATTTAGTCTAAGGAATGCGTTTGCAGTCAGTTAACACATCAAATAAAAGGCATGCTATCGAAAAAAAAATCGATGGAGCGTGGTTGCCCAATACATATGTTGCCTAAAGAGGTCACTGATGCCAGGTCAGGTCACAGAGGTCAGGTCACTAAGGGTCACAATATGAACCCAACTATGCTAATTGCTAGGGTCACGTGATACATGTTTTATGGTCAATTTTGCATTTAAAATTCAATGGTGTGGCTAGACGCCATTGGGGGTTTAGATTGCGTTCTGGTGGAGGTCAGGTCAAGGTCAGGTCAAAAAGTAAAA